TGTTTTTTATTGTTTCCTTCCTTTTGCTTGCTTTTATGTTTATGTTGCTGTCTCTTTATAGTTTCTTAAGGTGGAACCTATTTTTTTTTTTTTTTTTTGTACTTTAGTTGAAAGTTTACAGCTCAAGTTAATTTCTCATTCAGTAATTTATATGCATATTGTTTTGTGTGTCATTGGTTGCAGTCCCCACAATGTGTCAGCACACTCCTTTCCACCCCGGGTTCCCTATGACCGTTCATCCAGCTCCTGTCCCTTCCTGCCTTCTTGTCCTGCGTTTGGACAGGAGATGCCCATTTGGTCTCATATATTTGATTGAACTAAGAAGCACGTTCCTCACATGTGTTTTATTTATTTATTTTTTATAGGTCTGTCTAATCTTTGTCTGGAAAGTAGGCTTCGGGAATGGTTTCAGTTTGGGTTCGCAGAGTGTCCAGGGGCCATATTCTCGGGGGTTCCTGCAGTCTCTGTCAGACCAGTAAGTCTGGTCTTTTTTTGTGAATTTGAATTCTGTTCTACATTTTTCTCCTGCTCTGTCTGGCACTCTCTGTTGTGATCCCTTTCAGAGCAGTCATTGGTGGTAGGCAGGCACCTTCTTGTTCGTCTGGACTCAGCTGGTGGCATCTTTGGTTCGTGTGGTTTAGATTTTTTTTATTTGAGACCTTTCTTCTTATCTAATAAAAGCATCTAATGGTACAAATTTCCCTCTAAACTTTGCTTTAGCTACTTCACACGAATTTGGATATGTTTTATTTTTATTTTCATTCATTTAAAAGTATTGTTGAGTATCCCTTTTGAGACTTCTTCATCGATTATTTAGAAATGTGTTGTTTAATATTTAGAAATTTTCCTGTTATCTTTCTGTTACTGATTTCTAATTTAATTTTATTATGGTCTGAGGACATACTTTGTATGATTTCAGTTTGTTTCTTTTTTTTTTTTTACATTTGTTCAAGTTTGTTCATGACCAGGGTATGGTCTATCTTGGTGACTGCTACGTGTGCATTTGAAAAGAATGTGTATTATATACTGTTGTCAGATGGAGTGCTCTATAAAGTTAGATCTAGCTGATGGTGGTGTTCAGTTCTTCTATATCCTTGCAGACTTTCTGCCTATGAGTTATATTGATTACTGAGAGAGGAGTATTGAAGTCTCTAATTATAATTGTATGTTTATTTCTCCATTCAGTCTGTCAATTTTTATTTCATATATTTTGAAGATCTGTTGTTAAGTGCATATACATTTTGGTAAATTATCTCTTTTGGTTAATTGGCCCTTTTATCATTATGTAATGTCACTCTTCATTCTTTTTAATTTTCTTTGTTATGCAGTCTACTTTTTCTGATATAAATGTAGCCACTCAGGCTTTCTTTTGATTAGTGCTTGCATGGAATATCTTCTTCGCATCCTTTTCACCTGTCTATGTGTTATAAGTGAGTTTCTCATAGACAACATATAGTTGGCTCATAATTTTTTTAATCCATTCTAATAGTCTCATTTTTTAATCGGTATGTTTAGACCACTTTACCTTTAATGTAATTATTCATATGTTTGGATTTAAGTCTACCATTTGATTGCTTTTTATTTATTCCCTCTTTTTTTCATTCTGTTTTCCCTATCCTACCTTCTTTTGAATTATGTGCATGTTTTTAATTCTATTTTAATTTATCTGTTGTGTTTTTTACTATATCTCTTTATATATATATATATTTTTAGTAGTTGCTGTAGGGATTGCAATACATATACGTACTTTTCACAGTCTACTTAGAAATGTTATTTCACCACTTCTAGAGGAATGTAGAAACCTTACCAACATACATGTTGCTTTAGCCTCCCCGTTAGTATTATACTTCTTTTATATAAATTGTACACTGAATTTACATACATATACAATTGTCTTATATAAACATCTGTGTACATTGAACCTACCTAATCTATTATATGTACCTAGTTATTTACCATTTCTTTGCTCCTTCTTCAATTCTGATGTTCTGGGTTCTGAGTTTTCTTCTGATATATTTCCCTTCTGTCTGAAGAACTCCCTTTAGCAATTCTTTCAGAGCAGGTTTGCTGACAATGAATTCTCTTAGTTTTCCTTCGTTTGACAATGTCTTTATTTTACCTTTATCATTGAAGGAGGTTTTCACTGGCTGTAATATTCTGAGTAGATAGTTCATTTCTTTCAGCACATTAAAGGTGGTGCCACTTTCTTCTGGCCTCCGTTATATTTGATGAGATAAAAATTCTCTTTCTCAGAGTTTTGATTCTTGAGCCCTCTCACTGTGTTAAGGCCTTTGTCACAACCACCATGGAATTGCTGGAGGTGGTGGGGGTGGGGGCGGGCAGGTGTAGCGAACAGAGAAATGGAAAAAAACACTGTCTCTGAGCATTAGGAGACCTCTTTCCTCTTCCTTGTGCCAGAACTGTAGGACTTCTGGAGTTCTCTCTGTCCACACCAAAGTCCACTTTGAGGTTTCGTTCTCATTGGCATTGAGACGGGGATATGGGAGGGAGAAGAAATCCGTTAACTCACTGCTGGTTTAGTGCTACTTCGAATTCTGGTTGTCTGCCTCAATCTGCCCGTACTGTTAACTTTTCAGAGTCCTCAAATAGCTGCTTGATGCATTCTGTACAGGTTTTATAGCTGCATTCAGTGGGTGAGATAGGGTGGATTTGCTTACTCCATCCCACTCAGAACAGAACCTGTTTTCCATTTTTAATTGAAGAATGGCTTTTGAAGACTGTTTTCTGTATGGAGATCTAATTGTTACGTGAAAACCCAGTGTAGTATCAGTTTGTGTGCATTAGTGTGGATTCATGGAAGATCTACTAAGGAATAAATACGACTAATTTCAAATCCATACTTCAAAGTCTGGTTGATGTTTTCTGCTTCCTATCTCAGTTCCTTTCATCGTTGATGTCTTCATCAACCTAGCTATTTTATTTTCTACTAAAATTATAATTACTCAAGAAATTTATTTTTAAGTTTAGGATTAAGAGACAGTATATTCAGATCTGAAAGAAATCTGCGTTAGTGTCAAGGAGTTCAAAGTGTCAGTAAAAATTACAGATTTGCATTTTGACCCTACAACCTAGTTTTGATGCTATAGATGAACCTGCAAATGTATAAAACATTAATACATTGTTCTTCACTGGTGCCTTATTTATAATAGCAAAATATTGCTAACAACCCTAGTGTCCAGCAACAGCAGATTGGTTGAGTAAATAATAATATATCCACACACTGGAATACTATTCAGCTATTTAAAAAAATAACCAGGAAGATCTATATACTAAAATGGAAAGATCTCCAGGATATATTATTAGGTTAAAAATTAAAGGTACAGAGAGTATATATAGTATGCCTCCTATCGTGTAGAAAGGGAAGGAATAACAATATGTATTTATATTTATATGAAGAAACAGTGAAAGGATGAAGAAGAAACTAATAAAAAATAGTTACCTATAGGCGACCAGGGGAAATGGATAGAGAGAGACAGGAGTAGGAACAAAACTGCTTAGCATAAATCTTTTATGTCAGTTTAAGTTTTGAACCGTGTAAAAGGTTTTTTAACTTTATATTACAGAAAGTGTCAAACATACATAAGCATAGAGAATACTGTAGTAAACCTCTGTATGCCTGTCACCCACTTCCAGCAATGGCCAATTTTGTTTCATCCACCTCTACCCATTCTCCACCTTCTGCCACTCTCATCTGGATTATTTTGAAGTAAGATTGATGTTTGTAAGAAGGTCTTGGTAGAAAGGTCTTCAACTCAAGCTATTATTGGCTTTGTTGCAATAAATAGAATGTTAATATTTTTATAAGAAAGAGGTTAAAATAGTTCAAAACAATTGTGTTGCAAGGCTGAACAGTAGCTGAGGCCGTGTAAGATTATCGTAAAGGCCATAAAGATTCAGTAACCTCGCCCCCACAATTTAGATACTCAAAGAGAAAAAAAAGTAACGTCAAAGGGAGAAGAAAAGCTGTGCTCAACTGTGTCGTATTGATTGCATTGCATAATACTGATTTGCTGTCAGAAGTTGTTTGCAACCAGATTTTGCAGACTGTTGTAAATTGAGCTTATGACGTGTCAGAAATCGAAATGTATTTTATTTCTCATATGTGAATAGAATTTAAATTAATTCCAAAACATCGGGCTCTCTCTTCCTTTCAGTAACGAGAAGCATCATTTATATCACCGCTCTATCCTTTGGGTGAAAACAGGAAAAAAAAAAAAATGATTGCAATAGCTAACGACCCAAGGCTACTAAGCCTAAATGGTTCTTTTTGCCCGTCTCCCACGGCTCTCGTGTCAGGACAAACAACTGTTAGTACATTCTTTCCTTTTAATATTCATTTTGTATTTCAGCTGTTACCTTGCCTTTGTTGAATCCATCTTTCCCAAGGCCATAGTCTCATCTATATTCAATTTATTCTCGCCCTAAGCATCTCTATTTATTTTTTTGAAATGATCTATTTTTCTTTATTATTCATAGGCAGAAATGTATGTGGTAGATATAGAGCCTGTGCATCCCCCAGAAGGTACCCAGAAGCTTGCCATTTTCCCTTCTGGCACAAGGCTTGAGTGCCATGCTAGGCCCCTGGGTTTTCTGTACATTGAGGTGTGAATCAATTCTCTGCATCTACACCGAAAAATTCTTGAGCTCTTCTCTAAGAAGACAGAGCTTTGGGAGGAGTCAAGTCAGCCTACTTTGGTATACCTGGTGGGCAGTCAGGTGTTCAAGTAGTCTATAAAGACACGTGGGAACAAATTTCAAGTAGTTACATGAATAGTTGGAACTCAATAGGTGATGAGGATAGATTGATAAATGAACAAGTAGATGGAAGAAATTGGGAGAAAAATAGGTTTGTAGGTGAAGAATCAGTAAATTATAAGTGAACTAATATAAGCTAGTTCCATTTCAGTATTACACATCTACATTGGAAAGGTAAATTCTGTTCACCTCTTCATTATTATTTATCGCAGGGATTATGATCGGGAACAGTTTGCTGATAACCAAATCCCACTGTTGGTAATAGGGACTAAACTGGACCAGATTCATGAAACCAAGCGCCATGAAGTTTTAACCAGGATTGCTTTCCTAGCTGAGGATTTCAATGCAGAAGAGATTAATTTGGTACGTATTTTCACTAATGTATATTTATATTAACAGGTAAAGGCAAACCGAAAACTTCACAAGTTATATACAGTAAAACCTGTGAAAGCTGGAACCTGTGTAAGGCAGAAACCTGTCAGAGAAGGAAAACTCAAATATTTTCCGTAATAGAGTGATAAAAAAAGTGGTAAGACTGCACCCTGTCAAAGGCAGAAAACTTGCAAGACCTGGAAAAACAAGGCAGTCCTGTCCAGTTCCTGCTCTCACAGGTTTCACGGTAGTCTAGTGAAAGAAGTTTACACTTGAAGTCAGGCAGCTTGGGATCTAGTTCAAAATATAGCCAAGATTGGAGTCAGCATATCTAGACTGCCAGGTGGGCACAGTCCCCTTTGGCCTCCTTGGGTGCTGATCTACTGGAAACTGCAGATGCTACAGTGACCTTGAAACTGCCTGTTCAAGGAGCAATGTCAGTTATTGGCTGTTCAGAAGATTTTTTTTTAATCACACCAAGATCAAAATAATTATTTAAGGTGACAAACAAGAGTCACTGATACTGTACCTTGATTATTCATGCTTTAGGAAAGCCTCTGAGCTTCTTACACTATAAAACTTACCTTCAGGAACAACCAGACAGATAAATGAGAAAGTTATAAGCTGTTAAGTAGGAGTGCTTCATAAGCACAAGTTTATATAAATTCCTGTGTATACTCAGGATTGAGTTCCTTCCCGAGATAGCAAGCTCAGCTAGAACTTGGTGCTGAAAATGCTGAGGTACAGTTCTCATAATAGCCAGTTAGCATTACCCAGGGAAGGATTCTGGCCAGCAGCTTCAGTCATGGTTTATATGTCCCATTCACAAGTAGGATTTATGCAACATAGTCAGTGCACTGACTTTCCAGACTGGTGATGGTGGTGGTAATATAGCAGTACTAATGACTAACATTTATTTAGCACTTAATATGTGAATTATGTGCATTATCCCACATGCATCATCAGACTAGAAGCAGAGAAGGGTCAGATAATCAGGTCAAAGTTACACACATCAAACCAAGCACTCTGACTCCGGAGTCTCAGTACTCTACAAAGAAGCCTATTTTCCTGTTAATTACCCTGCAACAAAATTTAGAATTTGGGGGCTGAAAGAACTCTTAGAAATCATGTACACCAACAGTTACCCAAACCTGACTGGGTGTTTCATATTACCGGCACTACTTGTGAAAAATTTGAAATAACTTTCCTGCCACTAGACTTTTTATTCTTAGGGTCTGGTATTACGACTAAGACCCTGTAATTTTAACAGATGATTCAGGTGTTTCTGATGGCATCTAATTTGTGAATCAACATTTGTAAACAGTGCTTAGTTCAACCTTACCCCTACCCTCCCCCAGTAACTGAGTCACCTTCTGTTCCATTCCGTTGTTTTTTACATTCTACTTTTTGATGGAGGGTGCCTTATTTTTCTCTGCTGCCACCATGGAATGAATATTCAATGTAAATGCCCCAGGTAGTCAGCCCTGTACCATGATACTCTAGAGGATTTCTGATATGTAGACTATATAACATCCTTGTTGGAGAGGTACTGAAATTACTTTGTTTTAACATTATTTCCAAAGGAAAATTTACCACTGAATACACTTAATTTGTTCTAGTGCATACTTTTCATGTATTTCAGAATGTATCTGTTTCTAGTGCCGTGTGGATTTCATGAGGATAATCTAAATATGTGGTATTCCTACTTCCGTTGCGCAGGCAGGGCTGTCTTTCCATTGTTTACAAGACTATAAAGGTACTCAAGTGGTGAGACTTTAGCACCCACGGTCTCCAGAGAGTTCACATATGACATACTTTTAGCCTTTCATCAGTGTACAGCCCCAAGAACACAGCAGAAGCAACAATAGGAGAGGGTTTTGAGGATGCAAGGAAGAAAACGTGAGGAGGAAAATTGGGTAAGAGAAGTTTCCAAAAGAGATAGCAGTCCACAGACTCAACAAGTAAATATAAAGCCTCAAATAAGAAACAGATGTAACACTATTCGTGTTAGCATCATCAGTTACTGTATGAATTTACTTAAAAGTATAGAAAAGTAAGAATAACATAAAAGGATAAATCAAAGGTGAAATCCAAGCTTTCATGTTCTACCTGAATAAATGCAAATTGTTTCAGTTATACGTAGGGGGAAGAGTACTTTTTTTTTTTTAAACTCCTGTTAGGCTTATTGTGTCTAGTGCGAATTTTTCTTTGTTATGTTTACTTCAAAGTGATCATATTCAAGCAACTTCTCTAGTTAGTATTCTTTTCTCAAGCTTAGACAAGCTATTAGAGCTACTAATTTTCAGGCTTTGCCCTCAGCCATGATCAATGGCAGATGGCTCTTTCAGCTCTAAAATACTCATCTTAATATCATTGGGATTCTTTAGCCTAGTCAAACTGAAATTACAGAACCCCGGAACTAAGTTTTTGGAGGAGTTTTGTTTGTTCATTTGCTATGTGTTTTATCTTTTGTATTTTGTGCCCTTATTTAGCTCTATTTGGAATCATCTCTGAAATCTTCTGAGATTGTGATGACTATGTAGTCAGTATCCATTTTACAAAACTTAGCTGACACAGATCTGTCTAAGGTCTGTTTCTCATCTGCCTCTAGTGCTTTAGAGATATGTTCAAACATTGTTTCAAATACAACAGTTTGTATGATGATGTGTCAGTCTATTTAATCCATATATGGAATTACCTTTATTATATTAGGTGCTTTGGGGTCTGGAAATTCAACCTGATAGCATTCTTTTGGTATGAAGAGAGAAGAGAACGAGTATCACAGTACCTACTGTGTGCCCAGGCATGCATTATCTCATTGAATTTTCACAGAAATCTTATGGGATAGGTGTTTTCATCCCCATTTCATAAATGAATAAACTCAACTTTAGAAGGTTTAGTAGCATAACCAGTGATCCACAGCTAGAAAAGTGGGACTGACATTTGTATTCAGACCCCGATTTTTCTAGTACTTTGTGATCTTTGAATAATTTGTTAGTCTCGTTTGTTGTAATTTTGGAGAATGTATTCTAGTTACTGGCCAAAATTAAAAATGCGAACCTTGTGATATTATATGTGGATAAAAAAGGTGATTGTTACTAAATTCACTGGAAAGGTATCATATGGGCCTAAGAGATTACAAAACAGAGTAAATGTGAAGTAATTTCAGTAATTTCCCAAGGGACACAAAGGGTCACCAACTGAAAGACAAGTATCTCCCTTGCAAAGGAGCCTGCATGATATTCTCATAGTCTGGTCTTAGGTGGCATTTGAGGTAAAATCACAATACTCTGTCTCTTGATGTGGCATGTCAGTGGTGACGAACAACGGCAGTGAAACACTGGAATTCCAGGAGAAGGGGTAGTAAGCCTGAAGTCTTTGCTTTGCTGCTCATTTTAATATATAACATGCCAGACTGTTTTGTCTCTTCTGGGTCCCATTTTTTTTCCTATTTTTAAAAGTTCTATTAAATAAGAGTAATACGTGTTCTGTTTATTATTATCAAAAACAATATATCTTTGTGGCCTACCAAGGGATGCAGTACTTTGCATTCTGTGAGTGAGAAATCCCTGCCCACTATTCTGTTTATGCTTTGCTCCTCTAAATCCTTGCTTTCAGGCTTCCTACTATTCCTATGAACTGCATAGCACTACTTAATTAGTTGAGCGCTCGTGAATTAACTAGTACTAAAAAGCAAAGTATTTACTGTTTTTAATGGCTATATTCTGATTTCCAGAATAAATGTATGTAGGTCTGATGAGTACTTTGGTTTTGTCGCTAGCAAACTATTAGCAATCTTATCTTTCTTTAGGAATTAGTTGGTGATGAATCCCTTGATTCATTAGCCTCTAAAACTGCTTAAATGACAAAAAGTAAGTGGTCTTATCTTCCTTTAGCACTTTTCTCTGCCTCTTGCACAATAATTTGAAAATTATCTCAATATTTTATGAGAGTATTATGCCTAATACTTTACTGTAGAAGTGTGCAACAGAAACAGTAATGACTAACAAAGAGCTTATGTTTCCTAACCTTTCAGTGTCGATCTTACGTTCTGTCTTCTAGGATTGCACGAATCCACGGTACTTAGCTGCAGGCTCTTCCAATGCTGTCAAACTCAGTAGGTTTTTTGATAAGGTAATGACTTCAATTAAGTGATTTTAAAACTTAATTTACATACTATGAGAGTTTAAATTATTTGTAGAATGCTATGTCCCATTATTCCTTCCTCCTGAACTCCACAGCCTGAAAACTTGTTTTGATCTCTCTTATCTGTTAGTGTAAATTGCTCAAGGCCTGCTGACGCGTTGATTTCATCACCCGCGTTCTCTCAGCAAAGGGTAAAGCTACCAGATTTAAGTGGTTTTTTAAAGAAAGATAAACAATTCCTCTGCTTAAAACAATTTATGTTTCCCCATTTTCTAGCTGCTTTTTGTATTTCTTCACCCCCAAAACGCACTGAACTGAGGAAATTGTGTTTAGTTAAAGCCCTGAGTTCTTTTTGCTCTCCCAGCAATCACTATTCTCCACCTAAATGTTACTTTTACTTTGTAAGGTTATACTGTCATCTCCTTGGTCCCCCAGTTACTCCTTGCTAGTGTCATTGCTAGTGTCACCCCCTGAACTGGGGTGAAAATGTAGAATGACTCAGCATACTGTAGATTCCATCACTGTTGGTCTTCCCATCACAAGGCCCTATGGCTGCATAGCACGTAGTACTGACCAAGTTCAAGCTGTTTGCCCGGTATTGGCATTGCATGGTGAAGAAAAACAGGATGAATTCTGTATGTAATATTGGAAAAGATTAATTTCTACTGTGTTTCCTTTTAAGTATAACCTCCTAAGAAAAACATTGCCCTCCTCAAATTTCTTCTTTATGAATCACTTTTCTTCTAATATTTGGCCCTTTTGTCCAATATGTCAACATAAGATAAGCCCTACTCCCTTCAGTGTTTAATATTACACCATTGGGAGAATTTTGCTTCACTGCAGAACTTCACAGCCAGTGTGCAGCATGTAGGTTACGGGGTGCTGAGATACCCCTCAGTTTTCAGAGCAGCCAGAGCCCCCAGACTGGGCGATTGGCAGCCTCTTCCATTTGCCCCAGTGTGCTGTACAAATATTAGCATTTTCTAAATGTACTGTGACATGAAAAATGTCAGGAAGCACTGCGAGGAGCAGATCATCTGTCCACATTGTTTTCAGAGTTAAAATGTAGGAACTTCCATGGCCCCCATCTGATACGACATTCTCTCCTTTCACAGCAATGACTTATAAACCTGTGTCTGACATGCAGAGATCCCCAATTATATTGTTTAATTTTTTAATAAGACATTAATTTCGTGGTTAAAAAAATAAGATGTAATAAATTGTGGACTAGAGACAGAATAGTCTGTAGGCCAGTATGACTCCAGTTGTCAGGCGAGACTTCATTTAAAAAAAAAATGAGGAGGAAATTGGTTGATTTTAATGGGGGAGCAAGATTTGGTAAACGAAAGGCGTTACAAGTTGGAGGTGGGAAGACAAAAGGGTAACTTTTCTCTTTGTTGCTTCAATCACAACACAAGAATGTGACTGAGGTGGGGTTGCCTGAAACCCAGGCACCTGGCAACTAACTCTAGAGTTCTGCCCAGTTTTCTATACCTCCCATCTTCCAGAGTTCAGTGGATTTTAAAGGTTTCTTCTCCAAGAGGGAGTCTTGACTCCTTCTCCCAACTCCCCTGGCTAGTAGTAATTCCTCCCCTCTCTAGAATGAGAGGATTTCCTCTTCTTGTCATCTTGTCATTTTCATGACAAGAAAGGGGGTCAGTCCCTTCTTACGTTTTAGGAGGAAGAGTATTTTGAGATCTGTACTAATGAACCAGCTTTTCTACTCTGAAGCTACTGAATGAAACTTTGCCCTGAGTCTCTTGTGGCTCAAAGTAGCCCAGCCATAGTCTCCAAGATAGAAAGAATCCAGGTGATTTGGCCCTCAGGACAGTCACAGTGCGCTGGAAGAAGACACTGCTCTCATTCAGAGCAGTTCTTAACTTTATAACTCTAAATGTGAACGTTATAAGTGTTAATCTCCAGCTAATCTGTATCCTTATCTGATTAACTTCCCATTACAGCAGCTCTGTGTAAGGAAAATAATACTGCCTCCGCAACCATTGTAGTTTCTCAACATTGGAACAGAATTTATGTGTTGTTTTTCAAATGTTTTTCGTCATCTGAAAACATGATGCTCTTAAACTCATTATGTTCGTATATATATTTTCAGGGCTTTTTTCAGTAGTAGTAGATGGAGTTGTACTGCTTTAACTCATTTCTCCTACTGACCAAATACAGACAGTCCGGAAACTGCTGAATTAAGGGTGCAGTTTAAGTCCACAGAAAAGCTAATTGACTACTTTTGGTCTTGTGCCATCTGTCTGCATTGAGTACGTTCAGAATTTATCACTGTGTTCACTGTAGGAATGTGGCAGTTCACTACCTGACATGGTCTCCTTTTTAAAGCATAGCTGCTGTTGTCGGAGCCCAGTGCTTTGCTTTTATCTTATGGGTTCTTTGTGGAACCTGGTGGTATTTCCCTTTGAGGCTGACTGCTGGGAAACTCAGCCCGACTTGCTGCCATGCACCAGGAATTGCTTGGGGTCTTATGTCGTTGGTGGCTTCACTTCATTCTTTGATTATTTGGTGGTTTTTGTTCGTTCATTTATTTTTTGATCTGTCATTTATTTTTTTTTTTGGAATGAGGCAGACCTTTATAGAACACTCCCACACTCCTGATCTCATTAATTGGCTCTATAAGTGAACATCTAGAACTATTCAAGAGACTGTTAATTTAAATATAAACCTGTTAGTTCCATTAGTGGCCATGACACTTACCACTTTTTCCAGGGACGTCTACCGAGCCCTTACATTCTTTCTCTGTTTCTCACAGGTCATAGAGAAGAGATACTTCTTAAGAGAAGGTAATCAGGTTAGTATCTGTCTTTTCCTGGTAAAACAGCCTTAAATTTGGAGAGGGATGATTTCCAAAATGGTTAAAAAAGTGGGAGGAAGCCCTTTCTGCACCTGTTATTGTTGTTGTTAGGTGCCACTGAGTCAAGTCCGACTCATAGCTACCCCATGTGACAGAGCAGAACTGCCCCATAGGGTTTTGGTGGTGCCAGGGGTTAAGTGCTCAGCTGCTAACCGAAAGGTCAGTGTTTTGAAACCACCAGCCACTCTGTGGGAAAAAGATGTTGCAGTCTGCTTCTGTAAAGATTTACAGCCTTGGAAACCTTGCTGTGAATCGGAATAGACTTGACAGCACCTAACAACGGCAATGGGTTAATCTTTACAGCAGCAGATCGTCAGGTCTTTCTCCTGAGGAGCTGCTGGGTGGGTTCAAACTGCCAGCCCTTCAGTTAGCAGCCGAACCCTTAACTGTTGTGCCACCGAGGCTCCTTGTTTGTAGGCATAAGCCACTGATTTTCTTATATCTTGTTAAATACAAAAGGAGGAAATCAGGAAGAAGGGAAAATAAGAGTCTAAGAAACAAAAAGCAGCCAGGGATAAGGTTACATTAGAAAATAATAGAAGAAAATCATTTGCTTAAAACTTCAAAAGGGTGCCACAATGCAAATAACTCATACAAAACTCCAATAGGTGAATATTATTCGTTACCAAGTTGTTAGCACATCTTTTCCGTCTTGATAGAATTTCTTTCCATTATTTAAAAGCTTCAGTGGTTTTCTGAGTACAGCCTCAGAAAGCTGGTTCCTTAAGGCACAGCAAGCAGACAGACCAGAACAGAAGATGAGGAAAATGATGGAAACGGCTATTGGCCTTTGAACTCTTCCTGCTGGAGACTTCATGTGTTGTCTTTCCTACCTACAGATTCCAGGCTTTCCTGATCGAAAAAGGTTTGGGGGAGGAACGTTCAAGAGCCTTCATTACGACTGAATTAGACTCATCCTCTGGAAGAGTGAGCAAGAGTGGCAGGTTTCCACAGCTTTCCTCTTGCTGTGTCAATTATTAACGTCTCAGCCTTTTAACGAAATCGTCTTAAAATGCCACCCTTCAGCCTCACACTAAATAGAAAAATGAAAGGAAGTGACAGTGTGGGAGGTCCAGATTTTGTCCCCATTCTCTCTGTTCCTCACTCTTCTGTCCCTATTTATAGATTATGTAAAAGCCTTGTGGAAATATGAGATGTTGTCAGAATGATGCAGTAGATGATCGGTGGCAGAGTGCTGCAGAGAAAATTTACTCTTGCCTGGAACTGGAAGGGTTTTATGGGTCTGTAATTTTCCCGCACTCATTGCTGGAGACTTAAGTACTTCAAAAATGTATCTCTATTGTTTTACCTTCTTGAGGGGAAAGGTTATGTTAAGTAGCTCTGAGTTGTCCACCCCAAACAATCTTTGTCATTTTCAAAGAAGCAAAATGGTGTTATTTAATTGTCTCCACCCTCATCAAACACAGGGATGCCTAATAATAGCAGCCCTTGTCTGCCTCTCCTCTCCTTTGCAAAGGGCTCAGAGGTTGGAGGAGGTGGACTAATAGCTGGAGTTAAAATATAAATACAGATTAATAATACATAGAGAACAGCAGTACCAGAAAAGAATTCTGTGAGAAACTGACAGCTCACTAAATCCTTCACCCTTTAGGATACAGCTGTCTACACTCTCTTACTGTTCTGTTTGGAAATCTCAGACCGGCACAAGGACAGTAAAAGAGATTTACAGCCTCTTCATTTTTATTTGTCTGAAGGAAAAGTCAAGTCCTAAAATAGTAAACTCAGATTATTATTCTTTGTGTGAACATTGTATTTATGGAGAGAAGTAAAAATAAGTTCCCACAGCCAACACATTTCCATGAATTATGGACTTGGATTCTTGGATTCTGTAATCACTCCAGTAATTTATTTAACATCCCGTTGGTTTGTTTGTATGTTTTGGGTGGGTTTTGCTTCGGGAGGTTGAGTTTTTTGGAGGCGGTGTGTGTGCGTATGCATATTGTTTGTTGTTACTTTTTTACCTATCTTTTATTGCCTGTTTAATTCTCTCTGCCCCAGTTCTTCCTTAATATTTAAACCTGGTTTCCTAAACCTCTAATTTGCTGCCTTATTCAGCAATAGCTTATCACTCATATTCTCTTTCTGGCTCCGCTACAGCTGTCTGCACTCCCAGTTTTGCTCCATATTAAAAAATAATAAATAAACACAGTTTCGGTTTCTCATTTTAAAACTAGGGGAAAACACTAAATTCACTTTCTATTCCATTTTTATTAAATTTCTGAAGTTCTTTGGAAATCAAAGTACACTGAAAAGAAGATATTAAAATAAGAATGTTAGAGAGTGCTTTTAGGAAGGCAGTCTTGAGAGTTTGGGAAAGGATTTTTAAAGCTCTTTTCACCAGCTAGAATATTCTTCACCTCCACCCTCACAAGACTAAGCCCTAATTTCTTTTTTGACACAAAGGAGAGCTATGCAAATCTGATCTGTATGTGGAATCTGGCACAAGTGTGTCATGGCAGAGACTGTGCAGTTGGGAAGCAGGAGTCCAAATGCATGCACCAGACTTAAGCCACTTAAAGCTCTTTGTGTTCCTCTTTAAAAAAAAATAAATCTCTTCTCTCCCCCCACTTCTGTTTCTTTCCTTTAATTAAAAAATCCATTCCAATTTCTGTATTTCTCACTTATTAAAAAAATAAAATTAGCCATCATGTATGACTCCAACCTCAAAAAATTAACAGTATTCCTCAACTCCATTCCTTCCTGCTGCCAGCTTTACTCCCTGAATTGTAGTTTTCTAAGAAGAAATAATTTTCGATAATCTAAGGTTAATTCCTGGCAAGTCTGAGTAGCAGCAAAATAAAACTGTTTGCCAGAATGAAAGTTATTAGCCAGAGTTCTTCAAAAAGAAAGTTTTTAAAACAAGTTTTACTAAGACTTCCTGAGAACTACTCATAAAATTTGTTTTAAATAATAACAAGTGTAAATACCAAAACAGTCCCCAAAAAGTGTTTATTAAATCTTTAATTTTCTTACTTTCTCAATGGGACATGTTGCTAGCAATTAGAGAGATATCTTTCTGTTGTGATCTTGAGCTCTAACCACTGTTCTCACGCATCGTGGAAGCAACCAGATGTGAAGGCGGATGGCCACTCATCTGCCCCTTGGGTGGGCAGGCTCTTGGGATCCAGTGTTTGAGCTGATGTCTACCTCATTACTCTGAGAAGAGCTGTTCCCAAAGGGACCGATCCTTTCTACGTCAGCTTTAGCTTGGGTTCTCAGAAGTCCCTGAACTCAGGGCATCCATGATATAGCCATGTACCCGACACTGCTATTTTTCTCTTCATTCTGGAAGTGGATTGTGTGGGAAGACGAAGAGCTCCTAATCGCTGCAATAATCAGAGCTTTTGAGTCTTCACTTGAATAGTGTGTGCTGTAGCGCCCAACTTAGGGAGGGCCTTGTATGGGTATTTAATAGATGTTGCTTTCATTGAATTTTTAAAGCATAGGTAGCATCCTTTTTAAAGAAGTTTGAAGGTGTAACAGGATGTCTGCATTGATTTTAAACCTGTTAAAATTCAAAGGAGGGTACTTGGAGGAAAAGGAAATTTTAAAAAATGCATTTCTCTTCTCCATTCTCCCAAGGCTGAGAGCCAGATCACTGTGGTGGGAGAGGACAGGTTTCAGGATGTCTAGAACCCTGAGCTGCAAATAATCCACAGTATTTTTGCCTGATGCAAAATATCTGGAGCTGGAGCCTGCCAGGGCTGCTCCATCAAGACTTCCAGTTACAATTAATCTGCACCTCCATTTAAGGGCTTAAATCAATGAGTTTGAAACTCTAGAGTGCATAAAAAGCCCCTGAAGTGCTTGTTAAAATGCAGATACTAGGATTTCCATCACCCTCTCGTCACACCCCACCACCACCACCAGCCTCTTCGTCCCCTAGATTCTGAATCGAAGTATAAGGGATAGGGCCAGAATTTAGCATTTTCAACAGGCAGATCAGCTAATTCGGATACAGGTTGTCTAGGTTGTTCACCCTTCGAGAACGACTGTTAAACTCATATCAAAAAGTAGAGAATACTGGGATTGTGGACTCTGTATTTTATGAGCCCCAATACAGCAGAGTTCATCAAAGTTCATCTGGCCCTCTACATGATCACACCTAAATAAATCAAGCACTCCCCTCTCAAGGCTGCAGAGGCCAAGACAAGCATGAGGTGACTGGCACACCGTGTTGCTGTAACAGGACCGTTTGATATATTCCTACAATTTTTATCAGCGTCACTTTGTTCCCTCCAGGTGTATCTGATCAGTGCCTCACCGTCTTACACAAAGCCCCCTCCTTGTGCCACTGTTTGCCCCCACGATTAGTCTGTCAGTTACAATTTTTCTCAGAGAAATCTGAGAGTCAGTCCTCCATCTTCTAAAAAATGCAGAGCTCATAAGGAAGAGTCCCTGAGAACAAAGCAAAGAGAGCTTCGGGAAGAAATTTTGAGGGCTGTGGCACTTTCTTTCATGGCAGGGCTTCTTGTTTGGTCTATCAAAATAGCAAAATAACATTGGTATCAAAAATAATTATACTGGCAAAGGTGTATAAAATTAACATTTTTATTTTCCCACCCCTTTCTGCATAAAGGAGTTAGACAAAGCACCTCTAAGTGAAAGGTAACATTTATTAGAGTGAGTAATTCCAACAGCTGGGTAATGAATCCTTTTGCAAATCAGGTTTCCAATTATTTGCTTTCCACGAAATTAAAAGAGAACGTAATTGAATTGTTGACTGATAGATCATTGAAAATAAAGTTTAGTGATAGATTGCTGTGTGATTTTTGGTATTTAATTTGGAAAGAGGACTGTTGCATTTGAGTTTGTGTTAATAAAGCCTAGTTTACAGATTGTTCTTTGTGAAATTAAATAATGTCTGGAAAGGAGCCCTGGTGGTGCAGTGCTCAGCTGCTAACCAATTGGTTGGCGGTTCGAACGCACCAGCTGCTCTGTAGGAGAAAGATGTGGCAGTCTGCTTCCACAAAGATTACTGCCTTGGAAACCCTACGGGACAGTTTTACTCTGTCCTATAGGGTCGCTGTTATGGATTGAATTGAGTCCCCCAAAAATGTGTGTCAACTTGGCTAGGCCATGTTTCCCAGTATTGTGTGATTGTCCACCACTTTGTCATCTTTTGTAATTTTTCTGTATGTTGTAAATCCTATCTCTATGATGTTAATGAGGCAAGATTAGAGGCAGTTATGTTAATGAGGCAGACTCAATCTACAAGATTAGGTTGTATCTTGAGTCAGTCTCTTTTGAGATATAAAAGAGAGAAGCAAGCAGAGAGATGGGGGACCTTCTACCGCCAAGAATGAAAAACCAAGAAGGGAGCGTGCCTTTGAAACTAGGGTCCTTGCGCTGAGAAGCTGCTAGACCAGGAGAAGATTGATGAAAAGGACCTTCCCAGAGCTGACAGAGAGAGAAAGCCTTCCCCTGGAGCTGACATTTCTGAATTTGGACTTCTAGCCTCCTAGACTGAGAGAATAAATTTCTCTTTGTTAAAGCCATCCACTTGTAGTATTTCTGTTGTAGCTGCACTAGATATCTAAGGCAGTCACTATGAGTTGGAATCAACTCCATGGCCATGGGTTTGGTTTTGGTTTAATGTCTGTGGAAAAACCTGGCGAGCTCTCTAGTCCTGGCTCCTGTCTTCGGGCAGCTCTGTGTAAACACCAGTGTACCAGTGTCAGTGCATTTCATTTCCTCACTGCTCCCCAGAGAGAGTGAGCTCTCTCCCCTGTTCCTTCCCCACCTGAGTCGGGGCTGAGTGGCGAATCCTCCACCACACACAGCAGCACTGACTACCACAGTTCCTTTCCCAGATAGCTAGCTTGAAGTCCTCCACCTTTGGTAACAATCCTTCTTTTAACTGGAACACATGATTGGCCAATCTTTACCTCAAGTAAAGAAGAGCCAGGCCTCTACAAACTCTTCCAGAAATGACCTGTGATTAATCAATAACAAAGACAATTGTTTAAACAGTTAAGAAATAAGTTTGCTGTACTTTCTCCCTAATAGGCAGTTAAGCAATTCTGGCTAGTTTGAGTGACCTGCTGCCCAGTGAGGCACAGCCAAGTCGTGGGAACAAGAACATCCCGAGACAGGTTTGAGGGAGAAACAGAAGCATTTTAGACTCATCCTCTCTGGAGCTGGGTTTTCTGAAGTCATCTCAACTGCAGCAGGAGGAGAATGGCCGAGTTGAAGGTAAGGAATTATCTGACAGGTTCACTGCAGCTTCTTCAGAAAGAGCCTATGGAAGCTTCTGGGAACTCCACTGTGTCAGAGTTGGAAAGGACTTGGAGATTCCCTGGTCCAAACCTCTGTTTTCAGAGGCTTCACAGGTGGTGTCCGTGATATGGCTGGGGCTGGGGGTGAAGGAGAAGTGATAAAGGGCAGAGATAAAACTCTTATTATCCATCTCTTGCCTTTGTTCATTTCAAATATTGTCTTGGAATGTGAGGCATCACAAGGGCTCCACTCCACCATGGACACTCACATCACTGTGTCTGTTTCCCACCCCTACTCTGCTGCAGCATGCTGGGCTACTTCCCACTGACCAGTCAGATCTGCTTCCTCTATTCAGTCATAAAGCTCAGAATCAGCTCTTGGCCAGTACAAGCCCTAGTACCTCATCTAGAAAATAATTCCTTTTTATTTAACGTGTAATTGGAAAGTATGTGTGGGTTATGTGCCAGTAGGGGCTAGGCAATTTAACTATGCATTAATTTCTATTGTGATCCTCAGAATAAGTTTGGGATGTAGGTGCTATTGTTTATATTTAACCAGTAAAGAAAGTTAAGCTCAGATTAAGTGACTTGCCCAAGGTCACTGCTGGTAGGTGATGGAGATCGGATTAGAACCTGGGTTTGTCTGACTCTAAAGCCAAGGCTCTAAAAGGGCCTTAATGGCATCTACTTAGACTGAATATCTTAAGGGCAGGGAAAAGAAATGTGTTCCCAGTGCTTTAAGTCCAGGTTTGCATCAGTGCCCAATACATGCATGAGGAACTGAATAAAATGCCCAGACCCTTGGCTCAAGCAAGGTAGGCCAGACCCCAGACTTCTTCCCAGATGTAGGGTTTGGGCACTTCTTTAATGCTCTTCAAGTAATGCTGAGTTTGAAGAATCAAAATCTCCCTAATTAAAGGGGGTCCTGAAAACACTCAACACTGGAGTGAAAGAGTCTGTTTCTTTGTCGTTATGCCTGAGTGTTAACTCTCATTCATTCATTCAGCAAGTGTTACATGCTAGGCACCTGATGCCACAGATTAATATAGGAGGGGAACTAAATCTGGGTTAGGTGGGGTCAAGAGAAACTTCCTGAAGGAGCTTTTCCTTAGCTGAGTCTTAAGAGAGAAATGGGAATTAGCTAAATGAAGAAGACTGGGAGCCAGAGGAAATAGCAAGTGCAAGGCATATGCACATAGCCCTGCATGCTCTGGAATCCAAGAGTGTTTCAGCCAAATTTGAGTAGCTGGGGGAACAGCCAAGTGGAGTTACCCAGAAGATAGTTGGACATATGGATCTGGATCTTAGGGGAGTGGGCAAGGTTAGGGGCATAGATGTTGGGATCATCATATCAATGGTGATAGTTGAAGTCCTGGAACAGGGAGCATACATAAAAACTTTCCTGGTGAATATCATATGGGGAAGTTCAGCAGGGGTTGGAAACATCCTTACCATTTATAAATAAATTATATCTAAAATCCTATCCTGCTGTAATTTTTAAATAACTTATTATGCACAGCAATAGCACACCTATGTAATTGCATGCAGGTCTTTGTTCTCAATTTCAAAGGCATTCTTCCCAGCCTGCTGCCTAATCTCCACAAGGAAAGTTTAGCTCTAGAGGTCAGAAGTCTAAACCGAGTAAGCCATATTGCATCATACTTATTCAAATCAATAAACATATAATTTTAAAAATATTTTTCACCTTTTATTTCTTCATCTTAATGAATATGTCAACACAAAGCCTTTCAGTTGGCAGCCAGGCACTTGGTTGCTGCACCAGGAGGCCACTGAATCAGAAAATTTTCCCACAAAAACCAGTATACAAAATTTAAAAAAATATATAACAAGATGACCTGAGTTCAATAAAAAATAGTAAAACACACAAAATCACAAGAGAAAAAGGACTAATCAAAAGCAAAATATAAAGAGGAAATTTCTCCTACAGAGCCAGACTAATCCAAAAAATTGATAATTTTCAGACTATGGTGTTAAATATGTTTAAAGAAATAAAAAGCACAGAGAAAACAAACTAGTGAAGATCAGGAAACAAATAGAGGAACAAAATGAGAGACTCCACAAGGAAACTGAAAAAAAAACAAGGAGAACTACCGGAAATGAATAAAGCAACTGAATTAGAAAAAGCAAGAGAAACACTCAACAATAGAGTCAAACAGACAGAAGACAGAATAAATGAACTAGAAGACAAAATAACTGAACTTATCAAGTATCAAGAGAAACGAAAAAAGAACAAAAGCAAACAAACCCGAAAGGAAATATGGAATTCAATTAAGAAATCTAACATTAGAATTATTGGACTCCCAGAGCACCATAACAACAATAAAGGCACAGGAACAATTTTACAAGAGATAATCAGAGAGAATTTCCCAGACCGGAACAGAAAACCAAGCCTGCAAATATAGGAAGCTACATGTACCCCAATCAGAAGAGATGCAAAAAGATCAACTCCATGCCATATCTTAATAAAATTCTTGAAAACCAAAGACAAGGAGAGAATTCTGAA